TTCCGAAGCTGACTTCGAAACAATGTTTTTTTGTCACATCAAGCAAGTAGTGATGGGAATACCGGTTCCACATGAGTCGCGTTACAGTAACGACCGTTCCAGAAAAATACCGCGACAAAATACCGCTATTTTATAATCGAGGTTCCGACTTCCACAGTGTCGCGGTCCTCGCTTATGCAGTATTTCTGGCATTAGTTATCTACTCCCAACCAGTGTTGTCAGGTTCTTACAATTGTACCAGCTGTTACAACCATTCGTGCCATGAACTTAGATAATGAACTTAATAGAACGCCTATGGAGGGCGGTGTTTACTTTATAGAAAATGGCCCTATATTTTTTAAAATTGTCTATGCTGAGAAATACAAATATTAAATAAGTTAGTTAAACTATAATTAGTTGCTTGCGAAATTGATTACCTGTCGCTATAATGCTTTTGTCCATTATATTGCGGTAAGTAGCATTATATTTTAATTTTTAAAGAAATATCAAGGAATGACGTATGTCTTTAACGGCTCATATTTATGTGTATTGCAACATAATATATTTAATGTTAAAATCAAGAACAAAGTCCAAACCACTGTCAAAAAAATTCTTTATTGGTGACCGGTTTCGACAATTCCAGCCATCATTGAACCTTAAAAATATATATAAACAATAAAACATATAAATGTATAAAAGCAAATAACATTTTTATTTTATTTGCTTTTACGTTTCATCTTTCTAACAAAGCTATTTTATACCATGCCTAGTACATACCAGAAATCGCTATTTCATAAAGTAAAACGTAAAAAAGTAACGTAGCGACAGGAGCACCAACGCCAGTAGTAACCGACCAAATCGCAACAGGCGAAAGCGCGAAAACCCTAGAAGCGCTCCAGCGACTGCTGGAACGAAGTACGTCGCCGCCGAGATCGAGCGTCGATTATCAGTTACAGCAGTTACTTCTGTTCGCGACAGGGAACTAAAACTCTAGGAGCGCGACGGCTGGAGCGAAGTAGGTCGCCGCCGAGGTCGAGCGTCGATGCCCAGTTACAGCAGTTACTTCTGTTCGCGACAGGGAACTACAACTCTAGGAGCGCGACGGCTGGAGTGAACACGTACCGATCGAGATCGCGCGGCGCTACGGACATTTCAGTTCCAGACACTACTGTTGGCGACCGACGAAATCGCGACGGCTGGAGCTAAACAAGTCGCTATGCGGTTACTACGGTTCGAGCTAACTTAGCGATTATAAATAATTTATTTGCAAATTATAAATAATTTATAATTTTGTCGTCATTATGATCGTCGTTCTTCAATAACAGGTTCCTGATTCGTTGTGGAGCGCGACACGAGGTTACAAAAAAATACCGCCCCAAAATCGCGTTACTCAAATACCGACACATCACTACGTCAAGCTATGGAGGCCCATAAGCTCTATTATGATCTAATAATCTAGTTGCCAAAAATATGAAATTTTATGTTAGTATGACAATCTATTTGACAATAAGCTTCATAAAAAGTTTTAAAAAAATAATAAATTTATAATTAATTAAAGTTCGCGTTTATTTTTGATTGGTGCTTACTAACGGACAAACAAAGCACTTTTGTATAAAGGTAAATTAAGTGCAATTAACTTATTTTGATTCAAAAAATACGTAGTTGTTCTATGTCCACGGAATATTGAAACTCTCTGTATATTTTGTAGGTCTGCTTTGGAAAAATAAATTCTCCAAAACTGTTTTTCTCAAAAACTATGCAATGTGGCGTATTTTTACAAGAGACAAAAAATATAGTAAATACTTGAGGGACCATTTTACGAAAAGAAAATCTGTCGGTGGTGTTGGAAAATAAAAAAGAACTTTATACTAGAATCTATGAAGGAGTGAAGGTAGTGTTCACTTTTCCCGTACCTTTGTGAAATCAAATATTAAAGCGTTCCAAAATATAGGCATCCCATAGCTCCCTGAAACCGGAATATCAGTTCCTGAATTTATTTTTAAGTTTGATTAAAACTGTGTCCAATGAACTTATTTTGATTCCAAAAATATGTAGTAATGCTATATCAATGCAATATTGGGACACTCTGTATATTTAATAAATTAATTACAAAAATATTCCTCAATACTGCATCCCAATCTTCGTAGAAGCTACTTTCCAGTTAAAATGATTATAATCGACATGAGCTAGCGTTGGATACACAGACCTGCAATCCGAGAGCAGAAGCTCATAGATCAAAGTCGGCGCTGACCCCATCCCTTACAATGGCGCGGTGTTAATTGGTTACGAGAGTCAGAGAAAGGGGGTGACAGGGTGCGAATGGGGGTGTGAGGAACAAGGACTGTTGCGGGATACATCGGTGATAGGGATGAATTACTGGGAAAGGCGGTTGTAAGGTTTAGATTTAATAAGGGTTGTTTTGAAAAGGTTAAGAGTATTTTGTAATGCTTAATGTTAATACCACTCCGCTGGAATCCAAACGGAAACTAGCCAGTGGCTTGTGACTTGTATAAACGTAAAAAAAGTTATATTACAAAAAATAACTTTTTTCTTTTTCAGATTTCTGTATCAGTACTGAAATACTATTTTTTGAGAAATGAACCAGCCAAAAAAAGTATAGATATTTTTACAATAATCTTCCTAACTAAATTAAAAGAAAATATCTAGAGCAGAGCACCTAATTTAAGAAAAACGATCAGTTCCTTAATGTTTTCGGACAAATTCGTTTACACCCTGTATACAGGGGTGGATGGGGAAGTGGAAACCGGCCCGGGAATAACAGGCAACCGGCCCGAATCCACAAAAACAAAATAACCATAACGAAGAAGCATATTTTATTTATTTAATATACAGGGTGTCCCAGAAATAAGTGCAATTATTTTAACTGGTAGTATATTTCGGCCTCAAAAACACGCCTACCTATCATCTTTTTTTGCGAAAATTTGGAATTTTTTGAAAAAAATGTTGGAAATGTTTTTAGTTTTAAGTTAAAAAACATAAAATCTTGATAATCTGGCAACATAGGTAGTAGATTAAATTTACATGAAAGAAAATCCAGGAAAGATCCAGTGGCTCTCAAAATTTAAGCAAAAAAGGATGTTTTGTTTAAATTTTCAAAGTAAAATAAATCGGTTATTTTGGACTTACTTGAAAAACGGTAAAGAGAAGAATTGTTTCTTTTGACCAAATCTACCCCCCTTAAAATACTTGCACTTATTTCTGGGACACCCTGGATAAGGGTCACCCTTATTTGGGGTGATTTTCGCTCGAGCGAAAACATCTCTTTTCCCTCCGATTTTTTAAAAATATTGAAATTGTCTTGATCAAAATTTTTATAAAGATCAATATCGGGTCGGACATCTGAATTTTTACTAGAAAATAGCTTAGTTTCACAGGGTTCTACTGTTTTATTTCCATTATCGGTAACGGTAATTTGATCTTGATTTTGAGAAACTTTAAGACTTCCTGATTCATTCAGTTCAGCTGGCCCAATCCTCTGTGAAATACATTATTTTTAGCTTTTCAGGTATATTAACTTTCTTACAGATTATAAAAAGAAATTCTCTCTTTTCTGGTACAGCAGCAGCCTCGTCATGTAGTATACGTGTTTTAATTTTGGTATAATTCTCATCACGTAACTTTTCCTCGTTTCTACATTTGGCATCTTGTATGATAATGCCATGACTCAAACGAAAAAAAACCTAGGCAATACCTAAGCAGTGGATATAAATGTGTTCTGGGGTAGATGCTATGTTACGGTCCCTAATAAGAATATTTGGATTTTGGAGACATATTAATATTTTCTTATCTAGTCTAGTTTAAACCTCATTTAACTTCTTTCTTCTCTCTGTCTCACTAATTTTTAGTAAAATTATTCTAGCAAAATTTAAACAACAACTTAGACTTAACTTTTTGTTCCAAGACTTGGCTTTTAGTCCGTCCCCAATTCAAATCAAGCATAGATATAGCCATCTTCATGTTTTCTCTGTCAACGGCGTCAAATTCGCCTACCTTTTTACTCAGAGGAGCTCGAAAAGTATTGCACGGAGGCCCCAGTGGTCAAGCTACGCTACCGTATTTCTAGTATACACTTAGATCGAGACTATTTAGATGATATTCACTCTTTTCTGCTGTACGACCGTCGGAGTCTTTATTAGTTATTAATGAAAGAATAGTGGTAAAACTATACAGAATGGGTCTTAAATAAGTGTAAATATTTTAAGCGGTGGCATATTTCGATCCCGGGAACACGTCTATGAAGTTTTTTTTCCAAAAAAAAAGATGTTGAAAATCGTTCTTTTTCTTTTAAATTATCCTGTAAATTTTAGAAAAATTTTTAGAACTTCCTGTTCACCGCAAATTTTCCCACGGTATAGTTTCTTAATCTTTGATATTGCGGCACAAAAAGAGATGCAAATACAGAAAAATTTCGGTGGCAAATTTTTTTAAAAATAAATCAATTTTTTTTAAAAAAAATTCAAACCTTAATAACTCGGTTATTTTGGACTTATTTTATACTTATTACGATAAAAATTATTATTTTCGTATTACGAAAATATATTATGTTTCTTTTATTCATATCTACCAGCCCTGAAAATATTTGCACAAAGCAACACAAATAAGGTGCACTTATAGACTCACCTTGTATAATAAAACATTTCAAATGGAACAACAAACAACAGATGTTTATTAAAATTATAAGTGTCTCAGAGAAAGACATCTAACAAAAGTTATTTTACAAATTGGTGTTTATGTTTAAAAGCAACTGACGATTATATTGATGCAAATTTATTATTAGTTAGGCAGTCACTAAGAATCTTACGTAACTTTAGTTAGAAGATTAACCATTTAATTTTTGCTAAATCAATATTTTTTGAGTTCTGATCGGCACCGGCCCACCGGCCCATCTTCCCACCAGCCCACCGGGAATTTTCCCGTTTTCCCATATGGCCCATCCACCTTTGCCTGTATATATTTTGTAGTTTTATATGAAAGTATTAGTTAAGTAGTTTTATGCTTACCTTAGACGCGACGAGTTGATTTCCGCGTAGCAAAAAATATCTGAAAATAAAGATACTCAATAAATAACTATAATAAAAATCATTATTTTTCAAATTACACCCCAAGACAAAAAAAATATTTCAATTTTTTTGTATTGTTGTATGTTTAAAACAATTCAAAAGTAAGAAATATCTAACAATACCAATTTTAATTTAAATTTTACTTGTAAACTTTGTCTCTTAATAGATATCAGTACAAGTACAGTATACCTATATGCAAGGTTTAGAGATATAGATCTTGACTAGATGTAGATATAGATTGTATGTGCGGGGAAAAGTTCATTGAGTTATAACTCGTCATATAGTTACAGGGCTTTGACCAAAGCCAGTATCTGAGACGGTTTTACAGAGTAGTTCTCCATCTCCGATATCAGTCGTACCAAAGTTTATGACACGAGTGGTTGTCGTCTCGGCGCACTCAGTGATAAGGTGGGCTTGTTGATTCTTAGCTTCAATCTACTGAGGTGTTCATAGAGGAGACATTGTCATCCTCAATGAACAGGTTTAACTTTGGTTTTTGTTAATCACATTTAAAGCTGCGTATAAATATGTCGAGACGAGTGCGAGAGACACCCGAGACGAGTCAACCTCAAGCGGATTTGAGGTTGACTCGTCATATTGGGACGGGGTCTAAACTTCGAGCCGAGCCTATGCCCAGCCGGACGGCGTTGTCTCCGTTTTTTCCGGAGCCTTTGGCGAACCATCAAAAGGATTGGGGCGTCTATTTAACCAGTGGCGTATACATCGCGGCTCCGCGGATCAATTGCCTCGAGTCTCAAGGGGCTCGGATTCCACATCCCATTTTTATATAAAAATAAATATTCTTTCCTTTATTTGTAATAATGTTAATAATGCATCCTAACTAGAAAGATGCAATTTTGTCTTCTCTAAAATAGTATAGGTAAGTTAGCCAAAGTAGGTAAATCTCATATACAAAGATTTATTAGTGATTTCTTTTATAAAAACATGAAAATTTTATGAAAAATGAATAAACGTAATGAACTTTTCGTCGAGTTATTAACGGCTCAAACGTAAATTATGCGCTATTTCTGCTAAACGGAATTAAAGATGTAAAACAGGCTTCTTTACATATAGGATACATAGAAGATAAGAGAGGCAAATCGAGTGTGTTGAAAAAGGTGGGCATGCTCTCAGAAGTTCCTTACGGTACTCTCATAAATAAAGAGAATCGACAAAGAAAGGAACGATCCGATATAGAAAAATCCAGAAATTTGAACTATCCAGACTATTAAGAAACTTAATTTACGGCAAATATGAAAATAATAAAGTTCCCGCCATAGAAATAATTAAAAAAAAACTCTCAGAGCTTAAAAAAACCCTGTTCAAAAAGCACATTACGGCGAAGGTTTAAAAAACTGGGAATTAGCTTTAAAATTATATACATAATAATATTTTAAAAATTATTAATAAGCGTGCTGCAATGATGGAAAGCCATAGAATAATAATGTGGCGAATTGAATACCTTGAAAAAATATACAACTTTATAAATGAAGAAATGCAGATATATTATTTACAATATATGTTCCAGGTTAGTTATTGGCATTTAAATGTAGATTTAAATTAATAATTTAAATCTTAATTACTTAAATTTCTAATTTTTTAAATAAATAAAGTCGAATTAGGTCTTATCTTACAGCGCTTTCAGATGGAACGGAGCGTCCGCGACGGACCGTCCGCAACTTCGAGCAAGTACCATGAGCTTATATGAACAATTTCACCTGGGTCGCGTATGCTCCGTCCGGATGAGCTATCTTGAAAAAACATCCGTGCGGACGCTCTGCGCGTACGGTCCGCTCCATCTGAAAGCGCTGTTACTCTATTTAAAAATTTTATAGATATACAAACCACATAACAAAATATATTATTGAATAAAATAATTAAAGACTAAAAAAAACCGCACTGGCAGAAGGCTCCGCCGACGCCGCTGCCGTGCCGTTATCTCCAGGTATCTCAGTCGGCGTTCTCCAGTTTTTTTTAATGTAAACAGTCCGAATATAATTTAAATTTATCATGAATTCCTTTATTTTATCTAGCTTGTTTTTTTACCTATTTTGAAATTAAACAAACATATACAGGGTGTTTCAAAAAACATGTTCCTCTCGTGGGGAAGTTCCTCACGTAAAAATAAGATTTATTTTTTATATCAACCAATCCAATTCTGCTTTGATTCGTAGCTACAGGGGGTTAAAATAGGGTTCCCAACCGTCCTCTATTCCAGAAACAGTCCTCTTTTTGATCTGATTGTCCTCTTTTCTCTCACGTATTGAAAACTTTGTTACATACTAACTTCAAAATCTAAAAAATATTCGTTTATCGCCACAATGCTTTAAAGAATTGTTAATCTGTGTCTTTTATGTAATTTTATGTTTACTTACTGTTAGTTTATGTCTTGAAAAAAAGTTTGTTGACAATGGTTTGCTTTATTTTAATAAGTTTTGAGTATAAATATTTTTGTGTATTTTAAATATTTATCGCATACCGTTTATATAACTTTTTGGTAAATTCTCGACATTTGAGCGACGTTTCAAAAATGTTTCGCCTGTGCCTTTTTTTATCCTCTCGCCCCTATTTTTTATTTTCAAAGTTGCCAACCCTAGGTTAAGTGTTTTATCATTTTCTTCCAAGTGCTTTTAGTAATTTGAGATCGTTTGATGACTGATTTAGTTCTGATCCGGGTAGTTTTTTGTATAAAACAGTGCCACCATCGTCGATTTTTTTCGTTAAATGCGAATAAGAAAATATCCTGATTATATTCTGGCCCTATCCCTTATTATTTTTATTTACAAGCGATCTTAAGTTTATAACATATACATATATTTTATTTAATTGTTAACATTAGGGTAGTTTTACCAATTGTGTATGTGTGGAATTCCACTGATATGTGTTTTAAGTTGTTTGTTAAATTTTTAAAATTTTTTGATTGTATTTTGCTCTCTTAACTTTGTAGTGTCCTGAAGATGCAAATAAATTTTGCGAAACGTCGACAAATTTAAAACAAAGGACTTCTGTTGATTTTTTTCGATCCTAATCCAATTAAAAAACACATTATACTTAAATTTATTAATTAATTTTTTAAAATATTGAATGGTATCGAATAATACTTTAATATATTTATCAATATTTTAAAGTATCGATACTTTATATTCAATACAACCGATACCAAAATATCGATACTGCCTCAGTATCGCATAGCCCTATGAAGAATTTTGTGGGTTCGCCAAAGGCTCCACTGAAAATGGATAGCCGCGAGACAACGCCGTTCGACTGGGCAGGGACTCTGCTCGAGGCTAAATCGCTCGGCTCGAGGCTATAATATGACGAATTCCGCTTGAGGTTGACTCGTCTTGTCCTCGTCTCGGCATATTAGTACGCCTTTTGGAAAGATTTTGCTATAGCCTCGTTTCATACTCGTTTCGGGTTTGTCTCGTACTTGCTTCGGCATATTTATACGCGGCTTAAGGTTAATCATGAGCCACTACTTTAAGACTCTATAATTTAATATTTTCTCTTTGAAACCTGCAAATTCTAAAACGTAATTTAGTCTTAGAGCTCGAACGCACTGACGCATGACGGCCAAGTCGCAGCGGCCAGCCAACGACCCCCAATCAAATGATACAACGCGCACTAGCGTCCTGGCCGTTGGCTGGTCGTTGCGACCTGGCCGTCACCACGTTGAGCTCTTAGTAAGAACCGATCCACACTATAGTGACAATCACTGTAATATAGATATAGATAATTTTCGTAAAAAAAAATGCTATTACCGTATCTAAAACGACTGTAATAATAAATTAATATTCCACGTTTGATTAAGCCGTTCATGAGTATTAAAAAATGGTCAAAATTTCTTTAGTGAAGTAGTTAATATTACCCTTGTATATGTTTGATATTATACCAATCTTTAGCTAAGTATTTTCAATAAAAATTAAAATATCATAATTCACTAAAATGGACATAACATATTGGAAGAATGAACGACGATAGATTAGTAAAACAAGTAAAATGCTTAGTTTCTGAGGTACAGGGTGTAGAAGTTTTTATTTCGATTTTTTTTCAAATAATTTCTGAAGTAACGTCACTTTTTGGATGAAAATTGGTGCCTTGGAGTTTTTTGACATGAGAGAATTCATGCCAATAATATGACTCCTACTTGTAGAGGGCGCCACCTACATATTTTTACCTGGTTTGAGGAGTAATAATTTTTCGTCCGTACCTGTATAAAACTTGAGTCCGGACCGAGCATAAAAATATACATTTACGACGTTTTTAACGTATAGAGGTTTCTTGGTCATTACGAGTAATGATTCTGGAGATATTTGGAATCGAAATTATTAATACCTGTCATCATTGACATAAATCAAACATGTTGACTAAATAATTATTAGACTGAAATCTTTACTGAAATCATAAATTTGATATGTTTTTGTGTACAAAGTTCAACAGAAACTGTTTTAACATCATTTTTTCGAAGAAAAATTTATAATTAATTTAAAAATATAAAAAATCTCCAAATTTATCATTTCAGTCAAGTAACTATCTACTCATCATGTTTATTTTTGTCAATAATGACATGCATTGACTATTTCTATTCTAAATATCTTGAGACCGGTTGCCCGTAGCGATTTTTACAAGACATTTTTTACGTAAAAAATAAATAAAATATATATTTTTTCACTCAGTAGTTCTCTACATGTATAGACGAAAAATTCAAAACAATTAAAACACATGTAGGTGGACAAATAGAAGTCATATTGACAATAAAATCAAATTTCCCATGTCAAAAAACTCCCAGGCGCCAATTTTCATCCAAATATCGACGTTACTTTAATTATTTGAAAAAAATCGAAATAAAAATGAAACTTCTACACTTTGTATCTCCGAAACTAAACATTTTAGAACATACATTTATACGAACTTTTTTACTTATTTTTATTTGCAGAATATGCTGCCGAAGTTTCCGGGATATAATTCGGACCACCCTGT